AACAGAATAAATAAATAAATATATTAATTATTACTGCATATTCTTTTTTTACCATGCAGGGATCATCCTCAGGCCGACTAGTTGATGTTGGTCCGATAGATGGACTGACAACATCCACCTATAATAATAAACAAAATACTAGATAAACACATATTTTCTCTAAGTCGACATACCGTGGAGGCGGAGGCGGCACCAGTCGTGTGGGAAAGGGCCGAAGCCCCTCCCGTTTCACTGATGGGATCACGAGCAATGACATCGTAGTGGTGAGAATTATCTGACATCTGAAATAAATCGAGAATATATAGAAATAAATAAATAAACAATTAAAAACATTTTTATTGAAATTTAAACGAATATAAAACAATAAAATGAATAAAAGAAAATAAAAAACACAATCACTAAAATGAACATAAAATAATAAACAAACCAAAATGAATAAAAAAAGAGATAAAAACAATAAAAATGAACAAGAAATCAACAAAAAACTTTAAAAAAATAAAAAACAAACAAATGATAAAAGACTAAAAAAATAAATATATAAAAGTTTTAAAAAATAAACAATATATGTACACATCTATGATACAAATCAACACATACGTACAAAAAAAACCTAAACAAAAACTCACGTGTCTTGTAAACAAGAAAACAATCTTTGACATAATTGATTTGAATATTCAAACGAAGACAACAAATCTAAAAAAGCATAAAAAGATTTAGAAAAATTCAAATACATCTAAAAAAGAAAAGAAACTAAAAAGAATGATTTGATATAGTGGATTTGAAAGGTAGAAAATCAGATTAATCTAAAACAAGAACTAAAAATAATAATTTATTCTACTCAAATATTACTATTCATTTCCAGAGACATTCGATGAAAATAGAAAAACAATAAACACGGATGGATATATGGATAAATTTGCTTATTTCAGATATATTATGGATAACTCGAAAGAACATACAGTTCTTCGATCGAAAAGGTGCTATTTTTGTCCTCCGTGGTATTTATATGTATTTTCACAGATGTCATCATCATCTTATGGATAGTTCAATTCAGATGAATTAAAACAAACATTATGTAACTAATTTATATAGAATTATTGAAATTAATAGGATAACTTTCACTATTATGTACATATTTGTATTTGTTTAATTTGTATACCTTTCTTGTCTTATATATCAATTTATATTATTCTTTTATTTAAAAATATACAAGGATAATACTTTGGAACAATTAACACTAAAAATAAGAATCTATATTGTTAAAGGAAAAAAAAATATTAATTCATTTATACAGTAGTTGGTATATCTCTAGTAAACATTCGTTGATGTTGTGAGAATGTCACAATTGGAAAAATTCTTCGATGTCGATGTTTACCATTAGATAAATAATTGAGACATACAACAAATGGTAATGAAAGTGTAACAGCATATGTAAGAAAGAAAATATAAAGTTGAGTTCCAAAACCAACATAACGTTCTGTATGTTGAAAAAGTTGTACAAGCATAATTATTGTTAAAGGAAAATTAAGAAAAAGATAAACAGCTGAAAGTGTTAGAAGTTGCATTGACATACGTCGATATTTTCGCCATTGAATAGGCTGTCGAAGTCGTTTTTTCTGTGCAATTATACGATAAATTAAAGCAAGACTAAAAATAGCGATGATAAGTGTAGGTAAAGCACTATTTACAATTGAATCCCATAAAGCAAGAATTTTTATACTTAAAAAGCAAGGATTTGATCCACATTCAACTGAAGTATATTCAAATTCATTGTGACATGGTGGTAGAAATATAACAACAGCATAGAAACTAGATAAATAAATAAGAATTAGTATAGGTGGAAGATAATGATAGAAAATTTTCTGTTTTGTTGTTGTAACCATTTTATTATGAAATATAAGAATATGACGTTCAATTGATGCCCATGCAAGTAGAACTGTTTGAGTAGTATACAAACTATAATCAAAAAACCACCAGATCATACAAAAAGTTGGTGTTGCTGATAAAACATGTCCTGAACGACGAAGACTATCAAGCATCCATGAAAAATCTGTACAGATAAGAATTATATTTGTTATTATTATTAAAAGAATAACATGATTGTGTAATGCACGACGTCGTGTATGATCTAACAGATATTGATAAAAAATAAATAAAGAACAGATTAATGATGGAACTCCGAAAATAAGAAGTAACCAAAATTGTAATGTATGTGAGATTTTTCCTGTATAGAAATCAGTTGATACTTCTCTTTCGTGAACATTTGTTTTGATTAAAATTTTCCATGATTGCTTCATTATAATGAATTAATGATACTATATCATAGATATTCAAGATAACTTGACAGTAAAATTAAGATAATTTTTGTAATTTTTGAGTATATCTTCAGAAGCATGCATCAGTAAAATATGTTGACTCTAACTCAAAGTACAAATTTTCTTCATATTTTTATTTTTGATTGTTAATAGTACAATATTTAACTTGATATTGGATTACTTATCTTGGAAAAAAAACAACGAAGAAAAATTAATCAGCAAAAATCACATTCAAGATGCTTTGATCTTTAGAGAAAGATGGATTAAATTTATATTTTGTTCCATGTTTTTCTTGAATGTATATTGAATATAGATTTAATGATTGAAAAAAGAAAACTTAATTATCAACTCGAATTGAATATTTTCTGACAAATCTCTCTTTATTTTTTGTTATTTATAATTTAAGTTGATCTTCTTGAAAATTATTTGGTATATTAGTAGAGTGTTGAAAAAAATAAATTTTATTTATGAGCATGTAACTTACAGATCATAATGAATTATTTTCTTCTCTTGATAGTATTTTATTAAGAAAAAATAATTAGAAAGAAGGAAGATATTATATATTTTGTTTGATGAACTTAAGCTTATGGCTCACCTGGTAATTTTCACATCTGCTAGATCATAGATACGCAAATAGAATTGAATGTTAATAAATGACATTTTTCGTATTCATCTACTGTTAAATAAGATCCGACCGCAGTCATTATACAAATAACAAATATAGTATCTATCCATATTAAATTTTCATATTTTTATGAACAATATTTCGCTGATTTCATGATGATGTTTACAGAAATATATTATTAATCATGGCAATACCATTAATTTTTTTTTGTAATGGAAATGGAATTTCTTGTTAAAAACAACTTTTGGTTTATTTAAGGACCTAGAAAATAGAACTAATTGTCTGTAATGTATCGGAGAATTGATATTTAGGATAGTCAAAGAATAATTATCTTGAGTAGAAACAATTGCTGTTCGTCAGTCATTCTTAAAAATAAACTTAAGGATTCGAGTAAACCTTAAATGGCCTATATTTCCAAGATTATTAGTCGTTTGACGATTCCTTATTGAACTAATACATGATATCTGAACTCCAGTCAGTAACATGATCTGGCTTCGAGTCATGATCGAAACTTCAGGGTTGAAATATAAGATTGATCATAGTCGGTACAATACTTTGTAATAGAGTAATAAGATGTGTTATATTTGGTATACAGAATTTGCTAGTATTAGAGAATTTATTTTCAAAAAAAAAATAGAGTTGACATTCAGAAGATGATCTTATATTGAACAGCGAAGTTTTGAAAAATTTGACATGTTCTATTTATGAAATAATTAAGTGAAAGGTAATCAATGCTATTATTTGAAACAAAATTCTTTTACATAGACATTCTTGACATGAACTATTGAGACGCACAATTGTATTTGAATTTGCATTTATAGATCAATATTTTTGAATAAATCGAATGGATATACCACAAGTTTTAGCAATAAAAGTAACAAGAAAGAGAATGAAGATCACGTATATCGGATCCATTTTTGATTGAAAATAAAGAAATTTTTCAATGAAAGTTGAAATATAACCGACCTTACATTTTTGAATAAATGAGTAAATAAAAAAATTAATAAATATTCTTTGCATTTTCCAGTTAACTTATTTGCTATGAGTTAATGTTTTAGAATACCTTTTTATTTTTATTAAAATACTGTTTATCGACAAAAGCACAAATATTATTTTACATCATATTTATATCTTTATTTCAAACAGTAGCGTGCAGAGAAGAGTCAAATTTTACTTTGTGCATAATAAATGCTTCTTGTTTGTATACTTTTCTCACAGAAAGTATATTTATCCTTGCATATAATATTTGACTTTTGTTTCATTTACTTCAAAAATTAATCTTATCATTCTAGTAAATAGAATTTTTCTTTTATTTCAGATCAGTAATTGAAATACATCTTTGGTTTAGAAAAGAAAAAAATTCTTCCACAGTGCGTACGAATATTTATCAAAAGGAACAATAATGCATTGTTTTGACAAGTTGATATTTCTATTAAAATTTATTTAATTTAGTTAGTTTAAATGAAAACAACATTGTAAAAAAAGGGTGTGGGGTGTGAGGTGTGTGGGTATGGCAGTGAATAATAGAAAAACTACACACACATCCACACTCTTTGTGATGCCCTGTGTAGTTGCTGCCAGTTTACCAGTGAATATATCCTGTGTTCTTTATATTTCAGATCGCTCTATAACTGTTATCCCTCCTATCTCTGCTGTCTAGCTACTTGGTTGATATTCGGGTAGAATCCGTTGAAGCTATTATCTAAGCAATCCCCATGATATAAGTTCCAATGCTAAATAGTTGTCAAAACTAAGTGAATTTCTTGACCCAATCTAACCCCAAAATATATAGACTTTATCTCTATATGTTCACGTTGAACTTGATATTCATTAAGAGAATTTGCAATTATAATTCGATCATTATGAAAATTATTTAATATTATTAATAATTCTTTTGAATCAATTGTTAAATTTTCTTTTGTTTTCAAGTATATCAATTAATTTTTCCTAAACATTAATTTTATTTATTTTATTAGAAACAAAAAAATTTTTCCATATAACTTACTTATCGTTCAAATTTTTCATTTAATGAAATTAAATGATTTTGTTGATTTGAACGAATTTGTTGAATAATATTACTTTGACACTTTAATTCAACAAGATGAACCCAAAGATCCTTTTCAATTTTATTTAAACTTATACTTATATCAATTAAACGACTTTTTTCATGAAACATTTTAAACCGAAGACCCACACCCGAGAGAAACACATTTTCAAAAGAACAGAAAAGTGGGCTAATAAAAAAGGAATATCAGTTTATCTATCATATATATATATATATATATATAACAGATTTTCCATTTGCTTTAAATTTATTCAAATGTCTTCTATATTTATCTGAATGATTCAATTCATGAAAAGAAAAATTCTTTACAGGACAGAAAAGTCCACTAAAAAAAAGAAATATACTCTTGTCCATCGTGCACATATATATAACAGATTTATCTGTTTGATCTAAATTTATTCATGTCTTTTATATCTATCTGAATGAATCAATTCATGTGAAAGGAAAAATTCTTTACAGAACAGAAAAGTCCGCTGGAAGAAAGAAATATCCGCTGCTGGAGCATTTATATTTTGCTTTTTCTATGACTACTGATATACGTCTTATTTTATTAGGTATGCAAAGTCCCATATATTCTTAGCGGACTTTAGGTAAAGTGGACATTTTTTGGACCTTTGACATTGCTGATATATATATATATATATATATCTTAAGAAAAAAAAAGAAAGATTTTTCCAATATGAAAGATATTCTATTGTATCAATAGTAAATCATTTTCAAATGTTAGATAATTTTATATTGTATTCCAATAATACTCATCATGACATTTCTCTTTCCTGTTCTTTATTAGTTGCTAAAAGTATTATTTCTATCGTTTCGAATTTTTCATGATTTATATTTATGAAGATAGATTTCTTTTTGATGATGATTAGAGAATAGATGAGTAAATGAGATGTGGATTGACATGAAAGAAAGAATAAGTTTTGATGTAAAAATTACTTCTAGTAGAAAACTAATGAATCAATTTTAGTCTTTTTTTTTTTTTGGTTTATTTGAAAGACTAAAAATGAAATGGTTAATTAATCAACAATGGGACTAGTCTTTTCCAGGCTTATGAAACTTTATTCGCAAACAATTTTTTACCCGTCTAAACAAATCAGAAATACTATAATGCAATTCATTCAACCGATCAAATCTGTCACCTAGAATATTCATTTTAATGTTAACAAGACTACCACTTTAAAAAAAAATAATTG